GAATGCATGTGGAGGCCAGAGGTCAATGTCAGCTGTCATTCTCGGTCTCTTTCTACCATTTCTTTTTGAAACAGGAACGGAGAGAGGCCTCAGCAGTTAGGAGTGCATACTGCTCTTGCACAGCACCCTATCAGGCAGTTCACACCCTCGGTAACTCCAGCTACAGGGGCTTACCACTCTCTTCTGACTTTCATGGGCTCTTGTGCACATACCCACACACTGACATACACATATTTTGTTTTAAATCTTTTGAAGGGGGCTGGAGAGATGGCCCAGCAGTTAAGAACACTGACTGTTCTCGCAGAAGTCCCAGGCTCGAATCCCAGCACCCACATGGCAGCTAACAACTGTCCTTAACTCCAGTCCCAGGGGATCCGACAGCCTTTTCTGCCCTCCAGGGGCATTGCACGACACGGGTGCTCTTACTTACATGTAGGCAATACACTCATACACATAAAATAAAATAAATTAATAAATAAAATATTTTTTAAAAATCTTTTGATAAATAGTCTTAGGCCCCACCAGAATCAGAAAGTACATCAGCACAAGATCACAAACTCATGCAAACTGAAGTTTGTGTCCCCTAAATATCTGTCTAGAGATGATTGTGTCTCAGGCATCTGGGTGTGGGGAGCAGCTATCTCCAAAGCAGTGTCTGCAGCACTGTCTAGCCAGGTCCCTCACTCAGGTTCTCCTGCTGCACTCACACCCCAGCCTCCCACTTCCCATCTCTCACCTCCACCCTGTACTTCAGGTGCTAACACCTGTAGCCAGTAACCTACAGCCTGCATGCCCATCTTCCACAGACATCTATTGAGAAGGTCAAGGGTGATCCCATCCCCTTCCTGATTTCCTTTTTCTTTTCCTTCTCCTTTCTTAATCTTCTTTTCTTCTTATTCTTGAGACAGGGTCTCGTTATATAGCCTAAGGTGACCTCAAACTCATGATCCTCCTGCCTCAGCTTCCCCAGTGCTGGGATTATAGACATGTGCCACTGGTTTTGCTAATACTGTTCCTGATGTTAGGGAGGGGAGAATGCATGTGGAGGCCAGAGGTCAATGTCAGCTGTCATTCTCGGTCTCTTTCTACCATTTCTTTTTGAAACAGGAACTCTGACTGAACCTGGAACTCACTGATTTGGCTAGAGTGAGTGGCCAACAATCCCCCAAGAGTCCTCCTGTGTCTACCTCCCAGGAGCTGGAATTGTGCCACCGTGTCCAGCTCTTAAGTGTTGAAGATCAAATTCAGTTCCTTATGCTTATATGTCAAGTGCTTTACCAAATGAGCCATCCCTTGACCCTGATTTTTTTAAGGTCAATAGTCTAACCTTTTGTCCTAGGATTATCAAAAGGTCAAGCGAGCCTAGCTAGGGAGTGCTATGGAGCCACCTTGCTCTGTAGGGCATGGACCTCAGCTCACTTATCTGAGCCACGCTCTCCTGAGTATGCACCTTGCACCGCCAGCTCTAAGACTTGGTTGTTCCCTGTGGACAAGAACCTGGATGTGTCTGAGGCCCAGGTCTGCAAAGAGCCACACCTGCCAGACGATGAGGGGCTGAGCCCCAGAGGCAGCAACAGGGTGGAGGAGTGGCTCCCTGCCTAGGCTAGCACACGCTTTGCGTGTACACGAGCAAGCCTCTATCCTATGGTATACCTGCTAGGTGTGATGTGTGAACCAGCAGAAATTGTTAAGACAAAAACTAAATTGCAAGAAGCAATGCTGTTAAGAGTTGGAATCTGGGCCAGACTTTTTGATGCTCTGTTGCAGCATCTATGAGTGACTAGAACATGAACTGGTATACCCTCTGCAAATAGTCCTGTGGGGAGGGAGATGAAGGCTAAAGGCTCCCAAAGCCCCTTATCCTCTGGGGACAGACCAAGACTAGCTTAGCTGTAAGTCCACGTCCAAAGAACCAACCAACCTTCATGGAAACTTGTCCCTTGAACAGCCCCTTTCACTTGGCGGTCAGATAAACCTTCCCACTGAAGACTGCTCTGCACTGATGGGGAAGAAGGGCCTGGCCACATCCCTGCCCCACTGAACTGAAACCTAAGCCCTTTTCTCAGGCATCTCCAGATACCTGCTCCTCCTGTACTTCAGGAGAGAGACTGTTCCTGACAGCTCAGAGCAGCACAGACAGGCCACACATCTTGCCTGGTTTTCCACAGGGCCCCACACTGCCTCCCTTCTCCAGCTTCCTACTTCTTATCTCCCTGGGCTCTGAGTCCACCAGGCCACCCACACTCTGCCTTCCCCACCAGACCATCATCACATGTTGTGAAATATTGACCTCCATACTCATTCTGGCATTCCTGCTGCCCCTAAGTCACTACTTTGCACTCTGGTCCAGTCTGGGGAACAGGCTTCCCTCACCCCTGTTGGAGCCCAAGGTGGTCTTCCTGGGGTACTCTGGAAAGAGTGCAGTGTCTAGGATCTGAACTTGACTCTGCCCCTGACAACCAAGGTGACCTTAAACAAGGGTCTGGCCCACCATATCCTGGTCATGGAGCTTTACTGGTATAGTAAACAGAACAGTCCCTGCCGTGCATGACAGAAGCTAGAACACATCAGGACCCTGGGATAGCATGCAGCCATCTTCCACATTTACAATGCAGTTGGGTTCCTGGAAGGTGCTAGGTGGGAGGGGGAGGCAAGTGGCAGCACAGCGAAGGACAATCTCCTATTCCAATTTATGAGCCAAAGCCTGAGCCCCTCTGTTCCACTTCAACCCTAAAAAACAGGCAACAGATGGTGCATTTCAGATCTTCTCCAGCCAGGTTGTTAAATAGGCAGAAGCTCTGATCCTTAATGTTTCCTCTGTAAAATAGCAGTGGTCCCTCACTCTTAGTGCTGTTCTCAGACAACAGTGTGAGAGTGTCTTATGAGTTCTAGAATGACAGGCTAGTACACATTCAGGACACATTCAGGCTAGTACCTCCGTGTCAGTTAATCATTACATATGACTAATCGATCATTCTCTTCCTCTTCTCCTGGATCTGGATCATATGATCACAGTTCAGGCTAGTGGATGTCAGCTCTCTTGTGCCAACTTTTGAAAGATCCCAATAAATGTGTAGCCTCTACTCCTAGCATCCTGAGTCAGTAAGTTTAGAGTGTGGTTTGTTTTTGTTTTTTTTTTAATTCTTAGGTTAGTTTTCAGCCTGTATTAGGAGACACTGTTCTTGAAAACCATCACCAAGAGGCTATGTAGACTTGTAAGATGTAACACATAGCCATCCAGGCAGCTAGACATCACTATTCCCTTGCCCAAAACTGTGCTCCCAATTATCCACCAAGTCTTACCTGGGCTGCTATCCAGTCAAGTGATTCCATGCTGAGACCTGTCACAGGGCTCACATGGAGCTTCTGGCTGGGTCATGCAGGGGGCACCACTCAGTCTCCATAGCTCTAGAAAACAGACTCAGAATCCAGGATAACCCTGCTTGCCCAGAAGCCCCTGTGAGTCCTAGGGCATGGTGGGATGGTGTAAAGAGATGGTAGGAGGAATCTTTACTCCTTTTCAAAATCTAGGAGTTAAATCAGTAGCACTCAGAGGCACTCCCCAGCTAAATCTGAGGCATGGGTTGAAGGCTCTTGATTGGAAAAGTCTTTCACTGTCCCGTTCTGCTCCTTCGTGTTGCAAAGATAATAGGGCAGCAGGCAGGTGAGGGACCTTCCCTGGGGAAATGGCAGGGTCTGACACACACACACACACACACACACACACACACACATACACACACACACAGAGACACACACACACACAGACACACACACCACTCACTCACCTTGCCAACTGAGGAATTTGGTTTGCGGCTGTCTTGATCTGCTTATCTCCACCTTATGGACGAGATGGCCATGAGGTTCTGGCTTGAAGGCTGTGTTCTATGTGGTAGGAGTTTTAGGCCTGGCTCTGTGGCCTTGTCCCAAGACACAGACACTGTTCTGAATAGAACATTCTAATTGCTGCCTTTCCTAACTAAGCCCATGGGCCATCCCACTTTCCCTTCTGGACTCCAGCCCCATATCCATGGTTTTCTGTGCATGAAACCCTCCACCTGGTCTCAGACGGCACCATTGGTATGGCTCCCTTGCAAACAAATTGATGCCCACTGAGCATATTGACTCTAGTGTCCCATCACCCCCAAACACCCTACCCCTTCTCTGCCTCCACCCCTTTTCTGGCCAGAGTTGGCCTAGGGAATCTGGTCTAGGGAACCCTCCATGCACTCCTCGTCCACATAGGACAGGACTGACCATCATGACATTGGTTCCTTAGGTCAACAGGAGTGTGTTCTAGAAGGTGCCAACTGCCCAGCCCACAGGCCCTGCCACTCACTTCATCCCCCTCCAGCCTCAGCTTCCAGAAACTTGTTTTCAGCCTTACTCTCCAGCTCAGTGGCCCAGGGTGTGGGATTCCCGCCAGTTCTACTCTTCCGGGAGACTTGGTGCAGTGAGAAGAGCAAAACAACCGTACATACCCACCTGTCCGCCTGGAAAGACCGTGTAGAAAAGGGTCATCCTCTGCTGGGAACACAGTCAGTTCCGTCCCTTCTGTTGACAACCACAAACCCACTGCATGGCCACCCTTCTGCCTCCTCCTCCCCCTTCCCCT